CCCTGAAGCAACTGCTTGAAGCAACAATGTAGGTTGGATGCTTGAGGCTCAGTGGGTGCCTTCCCCTCCCTGTGCCCCGTGAAAACAAACCTGCAGAGCTTTTTGTTGCACAGAAGTGATCCTCCTTCGTTCCACCTCCAGCAAATCATGCCTGCGAGGTGTGACGTCCTCTGGGAAGCAATGACAGCTGTAAGCATAGCCGCGTGCTGCAAGGATCCTTTCCAAAGACATGTGAGGATGGCTGAATGGTGGAAGGCAACCCAGCTCACTGTGTTTGCAGCTGCATCCATGAAAAATTCTTTAAAAAAACCCCAGGGTATTGGTATTTAGACATCTGGCTGAGCAAGAACAAATAATCTAGAGCGATTTTTTTAGATGTATTAGTAAAGTGTTGTATATTACAAAGCTGGTGAATGAGGAACAGCTAGGACCTGGTGCCCTCTTTTTGACAGCGGTCGTGCGTTTGTCAGTAGTCAGTGTGACGTGCTTAATCCACGCACTGTTCAATAGCACCTGTGTGATGTTTTATGAAGTACTGTTGGGTTTCTGCTTTTCTGTAGATGAGCAGACTGAGCCACCGTCAGGGGGTTGATATGGAGGAATTGTGCGGCGGTGGTAAAGCTGGGATGGGCACTGAGACTACATAGCTAGAGGTATCGTCTAAACAAGTGGGTTTTCCAAGTTTGCGCTATGCTGTCCTTTCATAAGGATTTTGGCATTTTCAGGCACCTTTCTGCATATTTAGCTTGTTTTTTCCCGTCTGGAAAACATTTAAAGTATATGTGTGGGATGTAAGACCCCTTACATATCAGCTATCTGGTTCATAATGTGAACCTCCCAGATAGGTCATCTGTTTAATACCTAATTTAGATTTCTGGGCGTAAAGGAACGGTGGGGTGATCAGAGTGCCCTTACCCCAGCAATATCTCGTACCACGTGTGTGTTCAGCTTGGGTGAAGTCACGCTCGAACAGAAAACGCCTGACGAGCTGCTGCTCTTCTCTCCGCACAGTGAACACGTGCCTTTGTAGTGCGGCGGAGATGCTGCTAGAGGGATGGAGTCCAATCCCACGGGATTTGTTCAGTGAGGCTCCCGGTGCCTTCAACAGAAGCCGTGCCTCTGGGGAGCCAAAACCCAGCATCAGATCAATAGATGCCGTCTTCAGAGGCTTTGGAGAGCTTCCCCCGCACTGCTGCCAAGTGGATAGGGTTCAGAGGGTGTGCTAGTTCATCTTTCTGGCTGGAGATGCTTTCAGTTTATGAAAAATGCGTAGCTTGCTTCCTACCTTGTTTTTAATATAAACTACTACTGCTGTAATGCAGTTGGATGGTTGAGCATTGGGCTTTCTCCAGTTGCGGTAGGTGGGGAGCTGCAGAAAATTTTTATAACAGAGCACACACCAACAGGAAAGTCAAAGTCGCCTTGTAGTTGTGTGCAAAGCAAGGGAAGGCTCAGGCAAATCTTAAAGACAAGGGAAGCTGTGGTTGTTGAAAAGAAGAAATACATAGTCACTGCGATTGCTGTTTGTTTCATGTTCGTCTTTTGTAATGCTTTAATTGGTTTGCCTCGTTTAACGTTGCCGTTTTGTAGCTGACAAGAAGTACTTGGGGGAGCAAAAAGAGCTGTGAAAATGGCTAAAAATGGAGATAAAGGCCAAGGTGCATGCTGTCAGACCTTGGGCGTGCCAGAGGAAAAGTGCAAATTCCATCTGAGTCAAGATGCAGTGGTGGGATCTCTAAAAAGCAAGTTGTGTCATAGTACAGCAACTTGTCTGGACAGAGCTCAAGAAGGTCCTGAGTGTAGATAGCCCTTAAAGCATGAACCCCATAGGATCTTTCCAAATTACTTGGAAATCTGGTATTTTGGGGGTCTTTCCTGCAGGAAAGATGCTTTGTCGTTTGTAAATGGGATGTACTAAGAAAAGGGGCAGGTTTCTGGCTGCGCTGAGACTGGGTGTTGCAGAATTGGTGCTGATTTTGCCAGATCATGTGGCACTTCATCCAAAAATGAATCAGAAGTCAAATGCAGTGCTAAGCAGCACTTCTGCAAACATCTTGGGGTAATGCAAGCCCTGTTAGCTCTAATATACTTCACATAGCCCTCGTCTGCCCCAAACAGAGCCAGTAGTACCATTTTTTGTGTATGAAACTTCCCAGAGCCAGGTTTCTTTGTAGCCTGTAAGCAGAGGTGTTCTGCTGCCGTGCTAAATTAACGGAAATGCCACTGCTGGTGGCAAAACCTAAACCCCGACGCTAGCCTTGGGTACTGAAACCTGTTTAGAAAACTGCGATAAGGTGTCAGGGAAAGCAGACTGGGCTGTCTTTTTATTTATTTCCTCTGAGAATAACACCAGGTGCCTCAGATCGGTGCTCCGTCCCACCTCTCAGGAGGTGGGACGGAGAGGAGGGAAGGTCTTGCCCCTCTGGAGCCTCCCGTGTTTAATATGCTTTTTCTGTTTCCCTGCTTTCTGGATATCAGCTTGTGAAAGGTTAATCCCATTCCCTCCATTAAAGGCTGTGCTGGCTGCTCAGAGGGCCCATTCTGTAGCAATTAGAACAAATGAGCCCCCATTAAGCTCGGTACCGTGCCGAAATAGTATTTTTCATTTAATAAAAGAAGGCAGAGTTGAGAGGAATTTGTCTCCTCAAGCTGTAATGTTTTTGGTGCTCGTTTGGTTGCATGGGCAGGAGAAGGCAGGCTGTTCCTTAGGAAGTAGGGCAGGGTGCTGGCTTAAAATAGCAGTGAACGCTGGGCTGCTTGTGATGAAGGGAGCTATTTAGGTAAATCCTGGGGTCTCGGTGGGGGCAGAGCCGCCTGCTAATCTAAAGATACTCCTTGGAGACCTATATTTGTCCGGGATCCTTCCCGCCTTGGCTGGTTTTCCAGGTGTTCCCTGTTCAGTCCCTTGCACTCCTCTGCAGGTTGGGATGGCGGGTGTGTTTACTAGACATACAGTGCATTAATGTCTTTGGATGGTAATGGAATTAGACATCATTAAGCAGCAGGAGCGAGGAAACAGGCTACGTAAAGGCATCAGCATTATCCTATAATGCAAGACTTGGCTCTGAATGGCTCTCGGAGGCCGGTCTGCCAGGCTCGCGGTGCCGAAGAGGCATATGCCGATGACACTTGAGAGCCAGGTCAGGTGTACTGGGGAAACCCTTCAGGGCAGGGAGCTTGGTGCAGGGGCACTGGGAGGGATGGGGAGCATCTCTGCACCCACAGCAACTCTGGTTAGGATGGCATGGACCAGAGGTGAGATGCAGGATGAAGGGTGAGCGCTCCTGGGTGCAGAGGGTGCTCAAAAGCAGTAGGAAAAAGACATCTCCATGCAGCTATTAAAGATTTTGCTGGCAGGGAGGAGAAGCGTCACGTTATCTGGGCTGCACACTGCCTTTAGACCTCCAGCCTCCGAAGCAAAACCTTGCTGCTGTCTCTGGCTGCAGCATCTCCAGCTATGAAGCCTTAATAGGATCTCGCTGTGTTTCCATTAGGAGCAGAGGTGGATGCGAGCGTGTTGAGTAATGCGACCTCCTCCAGCTGGGAGCCTGGGTACGCTGCTCTGAGGGCTTGTGGGGTTTATCTCTCCAGACGTCTACATCAATCTCCTGGCTTCTGAGTGCTTCCCCCCTTTAGCAGTGGTGGTGGCTGTAAGACACAATGTAAAGCACTTTCCCTGCTCCAGGCTGAATCTGGTGAGAGAGCGCAAGGATCTCCCCTGTGTCAGACAAGTGGTTTGGGGTGAATTTCGGGAAAACGGAAGCGGTGTCGACAGTGATCCCGCTAAGAGTCTTCGGTTCACTATCTCGATTTAGAAAACATTTGCTTTTATCAATTACAGGGGGGTAGCGAAGGTGGTAAAATGGCTTCTCAAACAGCAGTGAGAATATGGTCCCAAAGGTGATGCCTCAGACATAGATTGCAAAGGTTTCCTGGAGGAAAGCCCTAACAGCAGCGCAGAGGACTGGTCTTGCTGTTTCAGTGATAACTGGGGCTCCTGTCATCGAGCTCCATCCCTGGCACATGAAGGTCTGTGAAGCAGCTCTGAATTCATTTCTAGAATTTATTTAGCCCATTTATTGGGCAACTTACTCTTTGGTTTGCAAGAAAGCTGCTCTGGCTGACCTCCAGCGTGGCTACCGGGAAGGTTTTAATTAGTTCACAGCTCCCTTCAGACTGCCTGCACCTCTGTGTGGTTATAAGGTGATAATGTGGGTATAAATGTCAAACACTGGAGTAAGCGCATCGCAAGGAATGTTTTAACCAGCGCTGTTTTGATCCAGTGCGAATGCAGCTGGGGTTGAAGCGTTAAGGCGTGAGATGGGAAGAGGAGAGAAACCGAGATCCGTATTGTGTGTGAATCGGTCTTTTTGCTGCAGTGCTGATTTTAAGTGCTCAAATTCTCCGTTATCGAGGCATCGATTGCCTTTTGCTGGATGCACTGAAACAGTCACTTCTCCAGGGGCCTGCAGGCTGGGCTCTGCGTGCTTCCGCCACGGTGCTCGGGCTCCAGCGTGAGTGTTTCTGGGTGTTATTTTGTTTAGGTTTCCCATGTGGAGCAGCCCTTTCATGCCTACGACGTCGCCTGAGCGAGATCTTGAAAGTACGCAATGTGCAAAACTGCGTCCGCTTAAAGTAGCTTTAAAACTGGAGCCAGCACCCCCTCCCCTGCCGCTGCTGGTGGTGGGGTCAGATTTACATTTACCAGCAGGTGGGGGATTTGCCTTTGACACAAAGACCCCGCTGTTCTTGTATTAATGATCTATTAGTGGATGTGCTGGCAGCTTGCTAACCTTGCGAAACAGGTGCTGAATTTCCCTGCCTGCTGACATCTAGGAATCCCCTCCCGTCTCCTTTGGTGAGCTCACTTTTTTAAGTAGCTGCAGCTGTTTGCTGTAGAACTCGCTCTTTTTCTTTTCCTTTTTTCTTTTCCTTTTTTCCTTTTTGCTCAAGCTTAGCAGCGACCCCCTCGAGTCAGCTGAGAGACCGTCCCACCGAAGGACCCGGTGAGAGGAAGATGCCAGGTTTGCTGTGGGTCGGTGTGCTGTCGAGTGATTATTTCAGAGGAATACTTTTTTTTTTTAACTGCTGGAAAGTCTATAGAGCTTGAGGGTCTCAAAGAGATTTTTTTTTCCAGGCTGGCATTGAGGGCTTATGTCCTCTTCTTGACAGTAGCTCATGAGTTGGCACTTGGTCAATGTAAGGAGCCCGTGTCCCTGGCAGAGGACTTGAGTCGGGGCAGATTGTCTCAATGACAATCCCAGGCAAATCCACATCCGTGCTGGTCATAACGAGATGGACCTACACATAGCAATGCAGGTGCTGGAAACTTGACGGACCTTGCAAGCAAGTACAATTTTAATGTCTGCATTGCTCCCGAGGAGGCTGAGGAAATTCAGTGCCCACCGAGTGTGTTTTTGAGACTGTCTCTGAGCTGCAGAGCTCTTTGGCAAGAGCAAGACTAATGCTGCAGCACGGATCTGGGTCTCGGCTGAGGTTCGGCTTTGTTTTCGGTGGTGGGGCAGGAACCCTGGCATGAAGAGCCAATTGACACCGGGACGGCTTTGCGGATGGCTCTCCTGGCTGAGCGCTGGGTGGCTGATGTGCGGTGACAGTCTTATGTCACCTCTGTTCTAATTAAATACTCTTGGTTTTAATCTCACCTGGCTCCTTAAAGAGTGTGGAGGGGGAGCAGAGTGCCAGTTCCACCTCGTGGGTCAGCAGCCCGGCAAGAGGCCATCGTAGCTGCCTCTGGGCTTGCCTACCGTGGGAAACCTTGGTGTGTGGTGAACTCTCCTTGAGTAGCCGTGGTTTACTTTGGCAAAGGCACCTCTTTTTTACCTTAGTCTGGTAACGCTATTTACCTTCTGCGCTAGATGTTTTGCCAGCAGAACAACAGTTTAAGGATAATTACCTTCTCTCTCTATTAAAGTTTTTAGGAGTCCATGAGCACGGTTCAGGTAGCTATAAGGTTTTGGAGGCTGCATGGCTTCCAAAATGCACAGATGGACTTTGATTTTAGGTAGCTTTTATGGTTTTCTAGCCTCTTGGCTTTGCACTTAGTATTTCTGCGGGTCCGTGGGAGCTTTAAGCGTGGCCTGGGTTATGCTCGTTTGGCACACATTATGTTTGTATTTGTGTTTTGATGCACAGGACTGTCGCTTGCTTTTTTTTGGAATGAAACACACCTGGCTTCTGCATAGACTGTGTGTGCCAGATTCTAGTAACTGAGAGTCAACGTGGCCTTAAAATTTGGGTGTTACTCCTTGAATGACTGAAAGGTAGTTGGTAAAGACAGATTTTCTGATGGGAATGGTTCAGTTGATTAATCTTTCTCAGTTTTGCTCGACGAGTATCATGATGACTGTCTCTTCCCCTTCGAAGAAATCATTCAGCTTGATAGAATTTGACGTATCATACAGATATTTTTAGGGTTATTGTCAGGAGATATTCTGATTGCCCTACAGAATTTAATCTGGCTCAAGGTAAGGAGCAGAGCGAGCTCTCTGAACCAGTTGCACACTGGGAGGCTGGCTTCAGCTCCAGCAGCACAGCTCTGACTAGTTTTGGATAAAACTGGGGCATTATGAACTGCCACTGCGCTTAATGCTCCTCTATATTTGAAGGAGCTGCCGTTCAGTAGGAATTTATGCTTTCAAAATGGATGAGAAAGATACCCGAAGTCTTGTGTGCCAGATGCCGTCTGTCAATGGGGACGGAGCGCGTGATGGTTCTGGTCGGTGCTCAGTGCAGGAGCTCTGTGGGCCCTGCAGCGTTTTCAGGGGCGAGAAACAAAACTCGGGGTTTTGCTCCGTTTTGTGAGTGCTTGGAGCCTTTGAAACACAGGGTCTCTTACTCATAATGAAAAAGGAAGATTGCTGCCCTCGGAAGAGTAGAAAGAACATGTGGAAGTTTGGAGGAGGACAGATGGAAATGGTAATAGTAATCATTTCTGGCTCTTGTGTTTATGCAAGGGAGGTGTTTGCTTTACTTGGTGACTCTTCTGAGATACTAATGTTATTTATGTTAGCACAGTCCAGGGGCAAGGGGAGAAGTTACTTGTTTTCTCAGGTGGTAGGAGGCTGGAGGAGCAATACATTTGCTTCACTTCGTGATCATTTTGTTTCCACAGAGCTTCTGTAGCTGGAGAGAGCAGTAGTTCTCTGACATAGAAGGGTCAGGATGCCTGTGCCAGCACTGCTTCAGACTGAAAAATGACACAGATTATTTGTCAGGCCTTGGTCCAGGCTTTGAAAAATTGGTATCAAGCATACTTGATACATCTGTGTTTGCAGACTCTCATGTAAACTTGCCCTGAGGCACCCCAGGGGAGAGAAAATTTCCTGCAAACCAGTGTAGGGATTCTTAAAGCAAAGACATCCTGGTGTTTTATGATCAGAAACTTGTACAGAGCGTAATTTCAAGAAAATAAGGATTATTCCATGGAAAATTAGGTAGTTGCTAATAAAAATTGGGACTAAGAGCAGGTTTGAATTTGGCTGTAGCTGCTGAGGTTCAACCCATCCTTGCTTTTGGTCTGGCCCCCTAATAGAGAAGCGCTGAAGCAGGTTGGCTAGAGCGTTGCTGTAGGTAACGCTGGCATCCATCACTTGCCTTCAAGGGTTTATTCCCTGTTAATGACTGTGAAAGCTCTGCACGATCCTGAAACTTAAGCTTTCTGCAAGCACAAAATGGCATTGCTGTGGCATTTCGTTGCTGAACTTCTCCAGATTATTGCCTCTTAGCTGGCTCCGTTTGAGCCCTCGACTCAACTTTGAATAGCTGAATGTAGGTTAGGTGTGAATGGGAATAGAAAGGTCTGATAAAAATAACATTGGGCTATTTGGAAATCGGGGTGGGGGAAGAGAAAAACCCAATAAACCCTGACCTGCTGCTTGTGCTATGCACAGCTCAACACAGGAGGCAGCTTTCTCTCCGCCTTTCAAAGCGGGTTCGGCTGGCTCCCATGCAGACTTTTCACTGTGAATGTTTCTACCTGTGACAGCCAGGTCTGGCTTCCTCGGTGGCCAGATCTGCGTTGTGGCAGATGGACATCTGTCATCCCCAGTCGTCAAACCCTTAGCTGAATGTCAGTCAAATATTTCAGATGCGGGTGGAGAGGGTACAGTAATTGGAAGCTGTTAGTACCTTACGCCGTGTGTCTGAGCATAAGACAAGACAGCTTTTACTTGTGCTTAGTTTTGTCTGAGCTGTACTGGCTGCTTCAGAATGCCCAAAATGTACTTTTTTTTCCTCCCTGAAGTGCATCTGTAACCATCTGCTTGACTATCTATCTGTAATATCATCCATCTGATGAGGAGTAAGCAGGGAAGGGGGCTATTGTGTTCAGTGCCCTTCAGATTCACTCCCAGATGGGTGTCAGGAGTTGCAGTGACATCTCTCAAATTTATTATCGAGCATGTTTAATCCTGGATGGTTTCTTTGGACTTGAAGCCCTACGTGCCCCCTGTGAGAGGACACCTCCTTTTCGTTAGAAACCCAACCACTCAGGGAACAAACTGAGTTTTGCTGTAGCTGCCACTTCAGGCAAATAGCATTTACTCCTTTTTCAGTAATGAATCTCGCTTTGTTGCTTTGTACAGTCATCCAAGGGACTCTCACATATATAAACAATAATTTGAGGATCGCTTTGTTTTCTCTTCCATGGTACTGGCTCTTTCTGGAGGTGCAGATCGGTCAGCCCTGCTCTGTCTGCTGCTACTTTCTCGAGTCCTGGGAGGAGAGGACCTTTCGACCGCTCTTTTATGAAGATGCGCAATAGATTATGTGGTCTGACCCAGCCTGTGCTGGAAGAGCCATGGGGAAGCTTAATAGGGGCATAGCTTGAGTACGGATGTAGAAACACAACACGGGCTTTTTTCCTGGAGGAATATAGTCTCTTTGCACTGAGGGGCAAATGAAAGGGCTGTGAGCACTCTGGTTTTGTAAAGTTGGTGGTAGAGAAGCAGCTTTTTGTCAAATTCTCCCATCCTTAACTATTCATGTCCTCTCGGAGTGCGGCGAATACCCGCTTGCTCCTGGACTGGCAAATAAAATCTGTGTTAATTTTGCAGGACATAGTCTTGCACCGTAGCCTAGCAAAGATATCCCTGTCCTCTTCATTTTACTGAAGTGCCTTGAGCACACCTGACCTATAATCCATTTTACACCTCAAAATTTCACTTGCATTTGTGTCCTTTTGTTTGTGGTTTGGCGTGCAGCGTATGTCCTGTTAGTAGAGTGGGGACTGTAGTCTCAGGAGCAATCCACCGGGTGTGTTTTGATGCCCTTGAAAAATTAAGTCCCAGACCTAAAGATTTCGCTATTTAAACTAGACTGGGTGCAACGTGTGGTTTTGTATATAAAGGGAAGATGGCACGAAGATCACCGCACTTGCTGCTCGCAATGTTGTGAATATTTTATCCATCATTTTTGTTAATTATTTTCTGCAGGCGGTGCATGGGAGGAGCTGAGGATGTTTAGCACACTGTGTCTTTGCGCTGCTTGGGCAGTCTGTGACTAGCCACAGCATTTTTTTTTTTTTGTGAGATAAGGAGTTATTTCCCCATTTTGCAGATAGGAGCAGGAAGTGGACAAGATTCTTCCAACCTTTCTCGGTGCCCTGGGGGTGCGAGATTTCAGGTCAGCTTTTGCTCTGACGGCCGTGCCAGCGCTGCCCCTGCTTTCTGTGAGCCCAGGCTGGCTGCAGGAGCTCCCTTCCTCCGCACCCTCCTGCTGTGCTCGTCACTCCAACAGAATTGAGCATTAATAAGGGTCACATTCAGACCTTTTAAAAAAAAAAAAAAAGCATATTTGTGCGTGAGATAACTGCTTGCATCGAGTTGACTAAAGCCCTTACACAGGTTATGCTGGCTAACAGGATTACTTGCTTTGACAACACTAATTACTTAAGTACTCGTCCTCATCCCCTGCTGCATGGGGGAAATGGGCATCGCCGCGTTTCGGTTTCGCTCAGGCTCCAGTGCATGCTTCTCGTGACTCTCTGGTGTGTGGAGGATTTTTTCACGCAGCCCCCACGAAGCTTTTGAAGTGCTCGACAGCTCTGGGCGCGCCGCGGCACGAGCGTCTGCTCCAGCACTGCACAACCGGCTCGGGGAATTGAGAAATCCTTTTTTGGGGGGGGTAGTAAGAAGCACAGCGAGTAGAAAACTGGCGATGTGGAGCAATCCCTTCCCTAGCGTGAGGTCTTTGCTGTGCGTGTGCATCCCCAGGATGGTGCTGGTCTCTCTGGAGCAGGTTTTTCTCCTTGCGCTCCATCCTGGCTGCGGCTTGGCTGGCAGACAGGCGCAGCAGAGGAGAAGCCAGCTCCGTATCATGCCCAGCTCCTTGTGGGAGTGGAGCCGTGCAAAGCCAGTGAGGGAACTTACATAAAAGTTCTTGGCTGCTTGCATCGGCGTAGCCTCGTACTTTATCTTGCATAACTCTGCTTGCTAGGGCTACCAAGAAAAGGCAAAGCAGACCACGCCAGGAGCTTTTCATGGATCTCTTGTGAATTGTGTGACGGGCAGTACTGCTCTTGCGGTCGTGTGCCATCTGCATTAAGCTCTCTGTCCCAAATTCTGTGGGCTTTTTACTTTGTTAGGGTGGCTCTGGAGTTGGTGGCTGTCTTTGACAGCCTGGGACAATGGGGAATATGGAGCTGAACAGTTCCTATTTCTCTGTTCTCTTCCTTATAAATCATTTGACCTTGAAGTCCTGTGTCCCTTGGAGTCAGCAGATGCTAGGACAACTGCCCAGTTTGCAGAAGTACTTACAAGTCCTTTTCCAGTCAGTTAGTCGCAGGGAGTCCCAAAGAATCCGTTGCCCCTCACTTCAAGTCCCGTGCCCACATTTCCACCCAGCTCCTTTTGGCTTCCCTTGTTCCAGCTCAACCTATTTGTGTCAGACCTGCAGCTTCCCTCTGCCTCCTCCAGCAGTGCAAACGCCGCTGTCCTTACACAGATCCAGAGAGTGCAGGGGGGAAAAAAAAAGGTGAAATTCTGCAAAATGTCGGGTTTTTCATCAGTAACCAGAGGGGTCACTTTTTTTTTCTTTTGGCTGTAGAGATGAGCAATATATGCAGTAAAAAAATGTTGTCCAGCCTGTGTTGGTATAAGCAGGGGTCTTGCTTAAAGCTCTTTAATTGGCAGCTCTGTGGGGAAAGCGCTGTGTGTGCCCTGGACCGTTGAAGGCACGCAGAGCAAAACTTCCAAAGCGGCCGATGAAAGAGGGCTACCTTATTGCGGGCACCGGCTCCCCTTTCATTATATCCGCTTCCTCTGTCCTACATTTCACATTATCTGAAAATTGATGTTCAGCTGCAAAGAATCTCTTGTGCTGCCTCTCTGCTTTTTCTCTCTGTCCCCTGGATTTCCAAGCTAAATAGCTGCTCTATTTGCATTTAAAAGAGGTCGCTTGCATTAGTGTTAGTCACCGTATTATTTGACCAGCACTATCGCTTTGCCTGTTAAATTCAGCATACTTTGGCATATGGGATGTCTTTACTGGGTGATGGATAAGGACATCAACTTCATTTGCATATCAGATATTTTTCTTCTCTAGCTGGATTACAGTTAAGTGCAAATCTGTCTTTCACCACATGACATGATTGCATCAGAAGCGGGAGATGTGGAAGCGATGGCACATTATCTAGTGAGTGGGTTTCGTTACACGTGGCGTGTGTTGGAGGTACTGCTTACTCAGAAGCAGGCTGGCACCAGAATCATTAAAATGGCTGTAAAAGGCCCGTTTACCTTCCAGATTTTGGGATAGTCTGGGGGATGCCCAGCAGAGATGGGGCGGCGGTGCCCCCAAGACCTTTTGCTGAGGTGTGCCCTGTCCCTGCGGCCGGGAGGGTGAGCGGCAGCTCCCCGCGGTACCCGCAGCAGGGTGAGAGGCTGATAAGAGGCTTTTCTCGGGGCTGTGCATGCAGCACGAGTGTGCAACACCCCAGCGCGTGCTCCAAAGCAAAACCCATCCCGACGGCTCATCCTTGTCCGTATGGCTTGCTCCCTCGGCAGGGCTCGGTCGTAATTGGTTTGGTCCTGCTGTGACCTGGGAGTGTTGAAAGGGCTGAACCCAGAGGACTGAGTTGATGCTGGTTATTCGAGATGTTTTGAGAAGGGAATGGACTCCAGGACCTGAGACCATCTCTGCGCTGCATTGCTGCGATAAGATGCAAATTGCTCTGTGGTGTGCGGGAGCTGCCGGCAGCTGGGCCACACGTTTGGGACTGTTTGACAGGATTTTTACTTCCCGTTTTTCTCTTTTTTTCCCAAACATCCAGCCCTCCTCTCTGGAATTTATTTTGAATCAAGACACTCTATAGCCTTTAAATATTATCCTGGGGTCATGTGTTCTCCATCTTTTTCTTTTTGTTTAAATTAGCCAGGCCCAGGAGAAGGTAGATGAGGAAGTCAGATGGTTCTCATTTGTAACTATTATTTTTGTTTCATATGCTTCCTTTCTGCTTGAGGCCACCTTCTCACAAATGATACAATTGCCTAGCATGAAAATAATAACAATGGGTTTTGATGGGGTGCTTTTCCATCTAGAGTTAAAAACCAGGGAATGTGTTGCAAATAGATGAGGCCTTACCTTGCCTTAAATGTTGGATTCCACCAGGATTTACCAACTACTAAGCTTGGGGTTAAGCTTTTTGAAGTGGCCTGTACTGAGAGGTGCAAGGCTGTTGCCTTGTAAAGGCAGCGTCTGCTTTATGGATATGTGCAGTTTCCTGAGAGGTGAGAATTTTACATATTGGTCCTCCTACCTTAATTACTAGTCCCTGGGAACCGGTGTGTTTTCCTCCTGCTTTTGCTGATATTTGCATGCAGTCCTGTTTCAGTGCAACATTACGATGACGACCATCCCCACCGAATTCAGAGACAGCTTTGGTGCCCGCGTTTTCTGCGGATGCATATGGCATTTAGTCTGCATACGGTGGCTTTTTAAACATGCTGAGGGGTGTATTCAGTTGCTCTGGCAGCATAGCTTTTAATCTTTCAGTATTTGAGAGCATAATTTCAGCGAAAGTATGTTTCTGAGTGTATGCTTGTCTTGAG